CGTACATTGTGATGTGGAAAGTGAACTTTTTTGATTTCAAGAAAAAAGAACAAACCTTGGGCCGGGTTTTACAATTCAATAAGTCAATACACTGGAGAGAAGAGACCGCGTACTACCGCTCAGTATATTGCTCGCCATTTCTTTGGCCCCAAATATTGAAACCTACCACTCAATATATTGTTTCCGGCTTTAAGGTTTTGTCAGTATGAGAAAGTGCTGTTCGAACTTGAAGCTGTCGTTGTCTTCGTAGTTTGGCGGTGTTAAAAAGAGTTGTTCCAGCTTACAACATCGCCGTCTTCATTGATTCGTTGAAGATGGCAGATGAAGGTAGAAAAATTTTGTTTGAGATGTGAAAATGTCGAAATCAATGGTTACGGTAGAAAAGGTTTGGTTGACATGTGAACAAGCCTAAATTGCTGCTATGTTGTAACCTAAATCTATACTAAAGAAAAGGAAATCTGTTTACCCATTTTTCACTCACTTGTTTCGTGTGTGAATATGATTTTCCTAGCATTACACTAAAATATGATGAAACATGGCCAGTGGGTTCAACATTCACCTTTAAGAAATCTTGTATTCTAAATTTTTTTATGTTCTTTTAATTACTTTTGTACTCTATTATTGATTTACTTATAATATTTTGGGACTAGTTCATTTATTAGAGTTTCGTTATCTGCAACTTCAACGTCTAACATGAATTTCATGTTTTTGTCACAAAATTTGGAGAAACCTTAAATGTTTTGGGATCTCACATTTATTGTCTATTCTTTTGATCATGTTCACAAATATGGGGCAAGAGGAATTAAAAAAAAAAGCCGAAAAATTGGATGTATCCAAAATTACAAAGAGCAAAAGAATGTTGATTTCGATTCAATACTTGTTTTGTGAATTAATTGTAACCTTGTAATTTTTTTTTTCTGTTTTTTTGTTTTTACTGTAGGCAACGAAAATTCGAAAGAGGTTGATGATGTCATTCTATTAGAAGAAGAAAATGACAACAATTTGGATAGTGCAAACTTCGTGGATGATGGAATTGTAGGAGTAGACAGTGTGATTGTGCCCGAGGTTGGTATGAAGTTCAATGATGAAACGGAAATGTTTAATTTCTACAAGAAATATGCGTATGATGTAGGATTTCCAGTTAGAAAAAGAAATTCACAAAAGGATGATAATGGAATTATCAGATATGTGGTGTTTAAATGTAGTCGTGAAGGTCGAAGAAGTAGTACTACAAGTGGTTCTTTAAAGCCGCAAGCTACCATTCAGATAGGCTGCAAAGCTAGGATGACTGCGTCTATAGATGCATGTTGAGTATGGAGGATTAACACAGTCAATCTCATTCACAACCATAAAACAAGTCCTTCCAAATTCAGGTTATATCGTTATAATCGAGAATTGAGTGTCCATGTTAAACGACGGCTTGAAGTGAATGATGTGGCAGGGATTTCATTGCACAAAAGTTACAACTCCGCAGTCGTAGAAGCAAGGCGTACGAGAATATGACTTGCATAGAAAAAAAATTGTCGAAACTATGTTGAACAAGTGAGGCGGTTGAGACTTGGAGAAGGAGACTAATATGATCCCGGGTGCACCATCAATTTCCAAGAATTCATTAATTGATTGGAGAAGGTCAAAGTCAAGAACTGAGCCAAGTCGAGAATTCGAAGTAGCTAATAAAATTGGTCACTTATGTATTCGAGCAACGAAGTCTAAAACCATGAAGTTCACGTGTCAAGGAGTAAATTTGATGAAGGGGTCGAAGCCTAATTCAATTAGGATTAACTTGATAATTGCAGCCGAAGACAGAGCCAAAATCAAAGGTTGTGCGACCGCACAGCTTCCAACCCTTGCGGTTGCATAGGAGCAAACAGGGAATTTTTCGACAGCATTCGGAACAACCATGCGACCGCACTAAATTGTGCCATGCGGTCGCATAGCACTAAACAGAGGCGAAACCTTTCATTTTCTCGCGAAGTGCTTTAATTGGTTGAATTTCTTATTTTTGGAAACTCTAATATTATTAGGACTTTAGCACATGATTTTTTTCCATATTTTAGGAGTTTATTTTTATCTTTAATTATTTTTCTATGTTTCTAGTATAAATAGGATTTTCTTTCATAATTG